TAGAGTCTAGACTGAGGCTGTGAGATTCTGGGAGGTGAGTCCTGGTTCTGCCCACCCTACTTGTGACGCCTGCCATCCCCCAGCAGCAGCTTCCATCCAGATAGTCAGGGATAACCTCCTCATCTCAGGATCCTTAATCTAAGCACCTCTGCAAAGTCTGTTTTTCCTCACAAGGTAACACATTCACAGGTTCTGGGGATTAGGACATAGACATCATTGTGGGGAGCATATTCAGCTTACCACACTGCTAAACATCCCACAATGCACAGGACAGCCCCCCACCAAGAAGAGTCATCTAGCTCAAAATGTCCTCTGTGCCAAGGGTGAGGATGACTGCTGTAGGTGATGATGTTGCTGTTAATATCATGAAGATAACAGAATGAATGGGGCTTGGCACCACAGCCCCAGGTGTGTGTAACCTGAATGTCACCTCAGGCAAGTCACATCACCTCTGAGCCTCAGTTTCCACCTCTGTGAAGTGATGCAGAAATAAGGACGGCATTGTCCCTGTGGAGCTCATCATAAGGATGAAGGGACATCTTGCACAGTGATTCTCAGCCTTAGGAGCAGCTAACAAATGCTGATGTCTGGCCCACCCCCTGCCCCCCGACTGATGATTGACCAATGGTCTCCGGGGCTGGGGCCTGGGCAGGAATTTTGTTAAAGGCTTTTCAGTACACAGGAGCCCAAGTGCTGAGATGTCCAGGCCTGCCCCCAGCTGGGCACACCAAGGGCATCGAAGGACAGGAGCCATAATTGTGACCCCAGTGGGTGGCCCCATTCAGGATCCAGGCCCCAGCAGCCCCAGAAACTGTTGGTCAATCATCAGTCTGGGTAGGGGGGCTGGGACATCAGTATTTGTTAGCTGCTCCCAAGGCTGAGAATCACTGTGCAAGATGTCCCTTCATCCTCACGATGAGCTCCACAGGGACGGTGCTGTCCTTATTTCTGCACTACTTCACAGAGGAGGAAACTGAGGCTCAGAGGTGATGTGACTTGCCTGAGGTGACAGGTTACACACACCTGGGGCTGTGGTGCCAAGCCTCATTCATTCTGTTATCTTCGTGATATACACCCAGCCCAGCGCCATCCTCTGGCCAGTCTCTGGCAGGAGGAGCCTGGTGCCCGGCCAACATCGCGGGCTCTCTGCACTTTCACAGCCTTGGGCCGAGCGCCACCTGCTGGCCACAGACCACCTGGCCACCACAAACCAGCTGGGCTAGTAAACTTCCAGGGTCTGGGCCCGGGGTCAGGTGGGGGAATTGGGCAAACCCTCCTGTCTCTACCCCCAAAGTGGCCAGACACATGACGTTTTCCCCATGGTCTGGGGTGGTGCACAGCACCCAAAGCCTGTCCACAGACCCCAGGTTCAGTTCCCTCATTGCCCTCCCTGGGGGCCTTCTGGCTGGTGCCAGTGCCCCAAAGTTGGGAAGATGGGGCGCTAACTCAGCACTCCCAAGGGCTGATTTTCTTCCCTCATGGAGAACAGCCCTGAAACCTGGGTCACCCACCACAAGTCCCCAGTCCAGCTCCTGCAGGAGCCCCCAAGGACCTCACCTGCAAGGTCACCTGTAGCTTCACAGCCCTGGTCCCCTACAGTAGCAGCAGATATTCATCAGACTCCTACATGTACTGATGCACTTAATCCTTCCAACAACTCTGTGAAGAAAGAGATTTTTACCCCATTTCATATGATGAAAAAAATGGAGGCACAGAGAGGTGAAGCTACTTGCCCAAGGTCACATAGCCAGTGAATAGCTCACACAGAGTGAGTTAAGACATCCCCAGTGGGTGTAAAAGAAAACCACACCATTTCTGGGAAATGCTCCAGTCTGCATGGTGCAGAATCAGGGTTGGAGGCCCCCCCACTGATGGATGGTGACTCACTTGCAGGACCCAAAGAGCGACAACCCCATCTGAACACACAGTCAGCCCTCATCCCACCCATTGGCTCACCACACAGGTGGACACCCCCCAGGTCCACGTGACAGTGGAGGGCCAAGAAGAACAAACTTGGGGCCACCCCGGGTTCAAAGTTCAGCCCCATCATTTTCCAATTGTGTGACCTTGGGCAGATACCTAGTCTCTCTGTGCCTCAGTTTCCACATGTGTAAAGTGGGATAATGATTGTCCCTCCCTCTTGCGATCGTTTTCTGGACAGAATGAGCAGGTGTCAGCCTCAGTGGAACAGCCGTATCAGAGCTGTGGACAGCTCCGCTCTCACCCCATCCCCGTCCTGAAATGTCACATCACAGAGGCCGCCCTGTTCTCCATCTCCCCTGTCCCGGGCCCCTTCCTCCTCCTCTGACTCTTGTTCTAGCCTCTAGTTTTAATCTGACAATCGGTTCACATAGGATGGATTCAGAAGCCACCCCGGCCCTAGTTAGCCCAGGTCCAGTCCTGGCTGGCAGCGTCTTCACCCTCTGGGCTGTGACATGGCCTGAGTAACCCACCACCTTGATTTCAGCACTGTCCTCAACACACACACAAAGCTCAGTGCCCGGCAGGGGTGGGCAGGGGTGGGCTGGGGCCTCCAGACAGTGCAGCCACATCTGACGTCACACACACAATGCCATGGCCACACTCTGCTCAGTGTCGTCCCTCTCACCCCCCTCAAAGGTCACAGGGTCACTGACACAGGAGAGAAACATCCCCCTCCACAACAAAACCTCTCCATAGGGAGGACCCCACAGGGCTCAGCCACTTACCAGATGTGCGACGTTGGAAGTGTTGTTCAATCTCCTTGAGCCTCAGTTTCCCCATCTGCAAAGCAGGGGGTTAAATGAATTCATCTGTGGGGAACCCTAGAGCAGTGCCTGTCAGTCAGTCTCCTCCACAACCCCCAAGGAGGTATCCTGACCGCCTTCTTTTTTTTTTTTCCTTTTTGTCTTTTTCCGTGACTGGCAACGGATCGCAACCCTCAGTGTCGCGCCCGTACCGGACCAGGACCGGTGAGCGGCCGGTCTGTATGTGGGATCCGAACCCTCGGTGGGAGCGCCGCCGCGCTCCCAAGCGGCGCACTGTAGCAGTGCGCCACCAGGCCGGCCCCTGACCGCCTTCTGTAGGTGATGAGAACAGGCCAGGGCTCCAGAGTTTGCCCCCAGTCCCATAGTTAGTGATGTCACTCAGGTCTGGGGGACTTGGAGCTGGTTCCTGCACCCTACGGTCTCCGGAATGGTAACAAAGGCTGATATTTCCCAAGGGCTGACCATACGCTGGCCCTGTACGAAGAACTTTATAGAGATCACCTGCTGAATCCCCGAAACAACCCTATGACACTGCAGTCTTGCCCATTTTGCAGAGGAGGAAACTGAGGCTCAGAGGAGCAAGCTCACTCACCACCCAAGCCAATCCGAGCTCTGACTGCTCCCCTGCCTGGGCACCCGACGCCTGTGTGTCTACTCTGGGTAGTCAGGACCCTCTAGCTCCAAGAGGAGCCTGGGCAGGTCATGGGGCGACTGTCACAGAAAGGCCAGTGGGCTTGGTCCCCAGTGCCATGATGTTTGCCCCCAAATGTGGGTGTGCCAAAACTGCCATCCCATCACTATGAAGAGGGCCTTGAAATTCCAATCTTTCTCAAGGGAAGCAAAAGCAAAAACAAAAAACTCTGGAGAGCTCACTTTGCTCCTAATCGATGCAACTTACAGGGACTCAGTCAGCCCAAGTCACTCTCTGGCCACACACAAATGGCACACACAACTACTCAAATTATGTCGTAAAAGAATATTTGTTGGCACAGAAACAAATCCACCATCTAGCATGCATGGGAAACAGCCGGCAGGTTGCAGACTCTCTGTAGGAGATCATTCACTTTTGAATTAAGAAGTACCTGGATGTGTGGAGAAAAGTCTAGAAGGAAATCAGTGCACCTGTGAAGACAAGCTCGCTCTGTGTGCGAAATACCAGGTGGTTGCTTTCTTCCGGCTTTATCTGGGTTTTCTACTTGATCTGCAAGGCACATGTATTAATTGGGTAGCTAAAAACATCTACAAAGACAGAGGTGACCTGAGGGGCCAGCCTCCTGCGCCCTGGACAAGGTGGACACTGACCAAGGCTGAGGCGGCCACAGCCATGGCTGTGACCACCAGGTGGCGCCTGCAGTCTTGTTTTTGCAAACTGAGCCCAAACTTGGACTTCACCGGACAGATAGGCAGTCATGGAGGTAACTCTCTGCCTCCCGATCAGACTCAACTGATTCTAATACCCCAGCCCTCTCCCACCCCATCTTTGTGAACCCCCGGCCCCCAAGTTAGGCAGCTCTTTTGCAGAGCACAGATGATCACCCTGCATGTATGTCCGCTTGGCCAGAGGTGTGTAGCCTCAAAGTGACCTTCAGTGCCTTTGTGTCCAGTTTCTGCAGGGGCTTCCAGGTCCCTCAGTTTTGGCAGCTTCCAGCTGTCTGTGAGTCATGTCTTCTGGTTCATCTTCTGTCTCAGTTCACACGTCCCCTTCTCAGTGAGGCCCTCCACTGTCTGCCACACCGCCTGGTCTGTTTCGTCCTGAGCACCCAGAGTACTCTGTGATCTCTTTATTTCCTTGTTTCTTTGATTATGGTCTCTCTTCTTTGATGACAATCCCAGCCACCAGAACGGGGATCTCCTCTGTCAGTTCTCCGTGGTCTTTCCAGTGCCGAAAACAATGTCTGGCCCACCATAGGGACCAATTTCCTGAACAAATGAATGAATGAATGAATGAACTCCTGCAGGTGACTCTGATGCCCCGTGGGTCTGGAAACTGGGGTGATCAGCCAGGGCCTCTCAGTGTTTGGCCCCCCACACACGTCTTCACTCTCTTACACCTTTCCCTCATTTGCTCCTGGGCCCTGATGGCTGCAGTCCAGAAACACCCCTTTCCAGCCTCCGGGCCTTTGCTCGGGCAGTGCCTTCTGCCTGGCTGCCTCCCTTCCTAATGCTGCTCACTGAACCTCCACCGTGGGCCCTTCCCCAGGTCAACATCTCTCTGTCCTGTCAACTCTATGGCACACTTCCTGAGGCCCTCAGGTTCAGCCCAAGGCATCTGTGTTTCTTCGAGTAGCAGCACCATCCTGGGGGCTGAGCCTGTATTGGGGACCATCGGTCCCCAGTGTGGGTCAGCATCTGCTAATGGACTGGACAAGGATGCCACCCCTACCCCAGGCACTGCACAGGTAGGTCAGGTGTGGTTGGGGAATTCAGTAGGAGGCTCTGATGCAGGCTGTGGCTGGCTAGCTTGGGGACTGACGTCTGTCTCAGCTGCAGCCAGTACATGACAGGGGCCCAGGGGCGAGGCTAGGAGAGGGGCAGGAGCAGTTCCTAAATTTGGCCCTTTCCAGGAGCTGAGGCTGCAGGGTAAATTGAGGCTTTCTCTCCCACCTTGTCTGGAGGACATGAGCTTTGCCCCAGAACCTCCTTGGTAGTTCAAGCCAGGCTGTGTGGCCCTGGGTAAGTGCCCACCCTCTCTGTGCTTGGTTTCCCATCAGTACCAACCTTGCAGGGTTGCTATGGAGGTTCAGGAAGCACAGACAGACACCTGTCTTGCTTGGACAGGCCTGATTCAGAGAAAGTGAATGTGTGTTTGTTGGACAAGAAAACATCAGCAGGAGCAGAGAGGGAGCCCCAAGAGAGGTGAGTTTCCACCCAGAGAAGTGTGGGGCTCAGGTGCAGGCTCACCTGGCTTCGCATCCCCGCTCTGCCACCCGCCTGCTGGGTGACCACTGAGCTTCAGTTTCCTCATCTGTAACAGGGGATCCTCATCTATCCGATCTCACACCTCAGTGGAAGGTTGATTTAGTTCATGTCCTGTTTGTTCCACTATACCACTAGCTCCTCAAGACGGCGACCATGCCCCTCACCCTTGTGTCCTCCTCTGGGGGACCCAGGATGACGTTCCAGCCCTTCCCTCCTCTGGTCCCTGTGCCCATCCTGGAAGCTCCCCCCTGCTCTGCTGTGATCCCTGAACAGGGGCCACTGCAGCCTGGACACATCTCGGATTCCCCAGGGACCACGGTAGAGCTGTAGGAAGATCACGGCACCATGTACACCCTGTGGTCTCTGAACCCACTTCCTCTGCTGCCAAGCGCCCCCATACGGAGTCAGGCACGTGGACTCTGGACCTCAACTCGTGTTCAATCTCACGGACTGGTGGGGGACTTTGAACAAGGACTTCATTCCAAGCTGAGATATTTACAAAACACAGGTCTCAGTAAAGTGCTGACGTGGTGGCCGATGTCCCTCTTGGAGTTATCAGGTTAAGCATTGATTTTTCTGGCTGATTCCAGCTTTGGACAGGGGACACCTAAGGCAAGGGGCTGGACATAGCATAGATTGTCCAGAAACTTTCTGCCTTAGATGAGGGGCTACAAGGGTGGGGTGGGGGGATGACAAACCCCCTCCCACCTCCTGACCCACCCGCTCCTCTACAGACATTCAAGGCCCAGATCAAACTGCATTTCTGCCCCTGATCTCTGAACCTCAAGCCCAGCTCATGCACCCTTCCTGGCCCCACCATGTGCACAGCCCAAGTGCAGCCCCAACACCCAGCCCACCCTGTGCCCCCACCAGCTTGCCCTCTGCTGGTGAGGGCTGGGGAAGAACCTGGTGCCAAGCCCCGTCCTCCTGCTCGTCCTTTCTGTTGCTCCGAGGGGGTCCTGCCTCCTCCTTGGTAAGATGGGAAGAAACAGGCCTTCTGGGGGTCAGCCCCCTTCTGGTGCCCCAGGAGCAGGGAAGGGCCTGCCTGGGCTGTCGGTGTCCCCAACCCCTACTCAGCAGCCTGGGCAGATTTTCTCCCCTCCTAGAGAAGCCTCCCTGAGGAGGGTCCCGTCAAAACTCAGTTGTTAGAATCTCTCCACACTCACCCCTTCTCCCCACTTCCGAAACCACCCTCGTGAAGCCCCTCCATCTTTCTCTGAATCAGCCTCCCCACTGGGCTCCCAAGGTTCCTCTTGACCCCACCGTCCATTCTCCACTCAGCATTCAGGGAACCTCAGAGGGTGCAACTCCAGTCCCGTCACTCCGTCACCCTAACCCTCAGTTGCTCCCTATTGCCCCCAGGATGAGGACCCAGCCAGACCCGGCCCTCCACCCGCTCCTGCTCCCCCCTGAGCTCCGCATGCCAGACACACTCCTGCGTCCAGTCCTGGGCCCGCCTCGCCCCGCCTGGCCTCAAGCCTCCCGCTGATGCTGTTCCCTTTCAGGGGTGCCCTTTCCACTTCTTTGTGTGGCTCGTGGCTTCACCTTCGAGAACACAGCTCAAGTGCCCCTCTTCCAGACAGCCTCACAGACTCGCTTGCAGGAGCTTCGTGACCCTTGTAGGGCCACACTGCACCTGCTGCCCGGGCACTTAGGGTCTGTGATCCTGGGGTCTGACAGTCTCCAGCCGCCCCACAGCACGTGGTGGGGAACTGGCAGCTGGACCGAGGGCACATGCAGCTTGCTCACCTCCATCCTGGGCCTGTCCCCACACCTGGCTCAGAAGGTTTGACCTCCTCTGCCATTTCCTGGCCCGGGGCCCTGGGCACAGTCTAACCTTGAGGAGCCTCAGTGGCCTTCCCTGAGAGGTGGATGTGGGCATTTCCTTTTCATCTCATCCATCCTTTAGCCATGTTTTACTTTCTCATTCGTGTTCACATCCAGCAGCCCCTGCACAGCCAGGTGCTCAGTGTGGTGAGTGAATGAACAGCGGTGCCCACGTTGCTAAGGAGACTCTGGCCCTCTTTGTAGGCTGTTGGGACTGTCTCCCAGGCAGCCCAACCTCTCATCTAACTGCATCCCACCCCATCTGGCTCTGTAGGGAGTGTGGGGAAAGGGGTGTCACCCAAGCCCACGATGAGTTCCCTTCCCACGTCTCTAGCAGGGCACCCCCCCACCCCCATACATCCAGCTGCAGGCTGGTAGCTCACTCCACCCCTGACCCTGCACCTGCCCCTGCCTTGGATAGGTCACTAAAGCACCCCTGTGAGAATGTTCACGGTCAGTTGTCATAATGGACCTGGGACCCTCCTATGGCCTGGAAAATTCATCCAGGCAGAGTCCTGAATAGACAGGGAATGATTAACTGAACTGGCTGGGACTGGATCTCTAACTGGAAATTTCTGTGCTCTCAGAGACACTGGCTTTGGGTTGGCTGGGAGCAGCCTCACCCCATCCCAGGCCTTCCCCACTGCCCAGGACTTCGGTAAAGAAAACCAAGGCCTTGCAAAGAGGGAGGCAGATGGCGAAGGGGACATGGGGTAGACACCCCACCATCACCTGCCAGTGCAGCAAACCCCCCCAAAACTGGATGGCACATGGCGAGTGGGGGGTGGGCGCTGGTGATTTTCTCAAGCACACGGTTGTTGTTAAACCTGGAGGCATTTCTGGGGAGGGGGTAACTCGTAGGCCAGGAGCCCAGTGGGCCAGAGACTTACAGAGGGCAGCTCCCCCAGCTTCAGTCCTCTTCCCGCGACATCTCCTCTGAGCAGGCAGCTCTCATGCAGGAAGCCAAGCCCCGGTCAGAACACAGCCCAGGATGCAGAGGGTGTGGGCGGCACCGGGTGGGACTGTGCCCAGCAAGAGTGGGGCGTGCTGGAGCCTGCTGCCTGCTGAGCCACGCTAAGAGTTTTACACATGCAGCCCAACTTCATCCTCTCGACAGCTCCAGGACAGGGCAGGGAGGCGGACCAGAAGCCAGGACAGACTGGGAGCCACACTAGCTGGGTTCGACCACAGCTGCCCTGTGCTGCTCTAACCATCCAACTCAGGGAGCTGCGCTCAGAGCGGGTGGATGATCGGCCCCGGGCCACGTGCTGGAAGGCAGCACTGCAGGTTGTGGGCCTGGGAGGTGTGACTGTCTGCCAGATCTGCACCCTTCCCCATGACACCCTCCAGCCACCAACATCCTAGGCTGCGGCCACCTCTGGGCATGTCCTGGGGGTGTCAGCAGAAAGGGTGCAGTCCTTGGGAGTCTGCCTTGATGGGGCTGGGGTTGACTTTCTGGGGAGGGGGCAGTGAGGATAGCACTGAGGGTTGTTAAGCACTAAGTTCAGTTGTTTGAGAGAACTGAATTGAGATCCTGCCTTCCTCTATGACCTCAGGCAGGGTCTCGTCACCCTGAATCCTAGAGTCCCGCTCTGTACAACGAGGACGGTGATAACCCTCCCTAATCGTGCAGGCTCAGAAAGTGCCTCTGTGGGGCCGGCTCCCAGAAGGGACCTGGAACGTATGTCCTTGTTTTTATCATTCTTGTCGTTGATCTGATTCCCTGGACACTTGCTCAGGGTCTGGGTTACTGTCTAGGGTTCAGCTCCACAAAGAGCACCAGACCAGGGCTCAGGAGAACCGATCGTAAACCCTAGCCCGGTAACTTACCATCTCTGGCCTCAGTTTCCCCTTCTGTAAAATGGGACTGATAAGAGTGTGCACCTGTTGTAGCTCACCAGCACCAGGCCCTGTGCTCAGCCCTTCACATGTACCGTCGCATTTAATTCTCACCACAGCCCCATGAGCCAGCAGCCAGTGTGGGGAGGCTGCCCCCACCTCCCAGGCTGCTGACTAGAGCACAGGGGCTGAGCTTGCCCGGGGCTCGGAACATGCTTGGCACGTGGGGAGTGCTGTGTAGGTGTGGCTTTATCGCTACCCCAAAGGCAGCAGGGACTGTGCTTGACTGAAACCCCCCAGGGTCCCCAGGACATAGTGGGGTCTGCAGGACCAGCCTAAGGGTCCAAGCTCATGGGGTAATGCCCCTTCTCTCCTTCTTGCCTCCTCTTACCCCCTGATTAATGTCAGGTGACATCAGGGACACTGTAGGTAGAACCACAACAGCCTCCTTAAAAGACCTGGTCTGTTTGGGGCACTGGGTCAGGTAGGCAAGGGTTGAGCCACTCAGGCCGGGACAGCAGGACCAAGGAGGAGCCTCTGAGGCTAGGGGATGTTCCTTATCACAGGGAGGATGCCTGCAACTGCTGCCTGAAATGTAGATCCAAAGACCTTCAGGACTCAGAGCGGGACTGTTGCTGTTGGCACTGTCGGGCAGAGTTACTCCACAGCTGGATGGGAGAGAAAAGTGGATTGTTCAGGGGTGTATGCCTCTTGTCCATGGCCCTGAAGTGGCCTGTCCTTGGGGGAGTTTGGACTGGACAGCTCCCTAAGGCAGCTGTTTTACAATGGGGGTTAAACGAGTTCTGGGTCAAGAGTTTAGCACAGTGCCTGGCTCACAGCACTCAACAGGTATTGGTTATTTTTTAAAGGTCCCTTCAGGTCCTGAATTATACGAATCTGTGGCTTTGTTTATATGTCCAAGTGCATAGCATGAAAAAGAAATGCCCAGGTAAAGAGAGTGCTGAAGGCTTAGGATTAAGTTAGAGACCAATTAAGGAGTGAGTCTAGATGCTTCCGTGGGCCGTAGCTGCTCTGATGCTAAAACATCTGTGAACATGGAGAAATCCACATTTATCAAAGCTCCTTCCAGGGAGAGTGTGTTTGTGGTTGCAAGAAATCCCAGGATAAATTACCTGGCTGGGGATAAGACTTCTTTGCTGAATATGTTTGGACAATGGGAGACGCTCCCTAAGATGCCTTCTAAGGAGGTACAGCCATGCCGCAAAGGGCTTTGGATTCGTAGAGCAAGTTTGGGCTGGAGCAGAATTGCTTAGGCCAAGAAAGGAGGCTAAATCCTGACAGCAGTCTTCTCCACTCTAGGTCTAAATTAATCCCACACCTCTTGTGAGCACAGGACACATATTTAGGGACACCCAAAGGGGAGCCGCCTGAGGGCCCTTTGTCTTCCCTCTGTCCTAGATTCAGTCCCAAATTGAGAAACCTCTTTCTGTATGTAGACAGATGGGAGAATAACAGGTTCTCCCACCCAAAATTCCACCAGCCACAAGAATATGTCTCTCTTTCTTCTGGAAGAATCCATGGGGTGGACAGTTTACTCCTTTCTGCTTCAGATTCACCCCAGCGCCCAGGAGGATGTGAGGAGCCACCTGGTAGGCCTGAAGTCTGTTCCCAAAGAGTACCTGCTCAAGGACAGGCTGAAAGGG